ATTCATTAACAGCGGAACTGCGGTGCACTACAAACAATAATGTTTGTTGAGTGAAAAAAATCTAAAATCTAAATTTGAATGTAAGAATCCCAAGTTGGTGAAGTGAAATTTCTGGGTAATTTGTCTTTTATTGAAGTGGAATTTCTAGGTACTTTTTTTGGTTTGTTAACTAAATTATACATATGATATGTTAATTCCATGTACCAAAAGCCACTACAAATATTTAAGAGAAACAGCAGTAGTCCGCTTTTTGTAAGTTGCGAACAATATGCAAAACAAGTCAGTTCCAGGTTTTATTGTAGAGTTCGGTGGCGATGCAAAGGCATAAGAGTTTTTAAATTGTAAGTAACCTAATACTTGAAAGAGAAAAATGTTTAATTTTTGAAAACATACACTTAGGAGCCATTTTAATATTCAAATTAAAAATTCTATTTTCTGGGAAAAACTGAAAAACCCACAAATTTCTGGAAACTTAGGAGTTCTGCGTACACCTTGTGAGAAATCTGGACCCCTAGTACTGTACTATCATATCAAATGGCAGAAGCCTCTTTGCTAAATGTTAGTCTATAGTATTTTTTATTGTTAATTATTTTCCTCCTTAAAATTGTGTCAAAACATATTTTACATCCCTACTACAGTATTATCAGAAACAATCATAAAATATAACAATAGATACATAAACACTGATACCTTATTAATAGAAAAAAAAAATGCTCACTCTAAAAATACATATATTTGATCAACATAATGTAATCTTTACTCAATCATTATATACATATTTAAACAGAAGAATGTACTTAGTATCCTAGCAATGGATATAATTTTAGTTACTGTATGGTATATATGGGTTATAACCTTCATTGAGCAGAGGTACTTACTGTATTGACTTATTGTGACATGCTTTCAATCATGGGGGAAGTGAACACAGGCGTTTTTTTTAAATTTGAACGGTACAGTAGTTTACCACCAGTTACATAACGGAACAATGTTCTACACAAAGCCTATTGAAATTAATCTTTAGATGCAATTTTAGTCAAGAGAAAAAAAAAATCTTGTGTCAAAGGATTTGGACATGGGGCCCTGGGATTGGAAGATATCTTAACCACCACGCTGCAATCCCACATAAATTACTGTATAAGATCTTCTTTTGTTTTTTTTGTAATTAATCCTATCGCATTGACAACGCGAAGTGAAACTGTGATAATACCATCGCGTTGTCTTCGCGATTTCGCGTTGTTTTGTTTTGACAGGCTCCCTAATATTTTTATTATATTTTACTTTCTAATTTATATTTATCGATTCTTATTACTGCTATAAAAAATCTTTGCTCGCCATCCCCATGTACTGAAAAACAAGAATTATGGTTAAAATGCACATTTTATTTATGCCTCTTTTCTGTGAAGTGAAATGTCCCTTTAGTTAAAATACTATATACAGTACGTTTATTAAAAATGTTGTGTTTATATCAAATTCTACTGGTACTGGTACAGGCATAATGCGCCTCATTCCTTAAGATTATAAAGCTCACTTCTTTTCCATGGTCATTTGGTCCACATGCTTTAAGCGTTGCTGCTGGTAATCAGCGCAGAACCACGCAGTCCCCACCAGGTACCTATATATTTCTGGGTGGAGAGAAGCAATATTGCAGATAAAGTGCCTTGTTCAAGGACATGAAAGCGAAATGCACAGCGAGGGATTGAAACACCAACCTCGAGATTGGGAAACCAAACTGTTTCCGCTCCGCCAATCCGCTTCCACATTTTAAAGGCAAACTGTGAAATTCAATCATTAAAACTTTTGCATGAAAAATATTTGATTACTGCTTCATACTTTCCTATTACTGTATTCATACATTTTTAATTACTGATACAAAATTAAAAGATTCACTTTTGCAATGTTATACTGTATAATAATAATAATAAAAATAATAATAACAATTATTATTTTATAAAGTGCGTAATTAAAAATGAGGAGCCTCATGAGTCAAAGTGCTGAAGATGTCTGTTGATGAAAATGTATTTATTATAAAAAGTTAAGCATATTGTATGAAAAGTTAAGTCATTAAAAAATGTAATAATCCTTTGGAGATAAAGTACTTTATTAATCCCAAATGGTGTATAATTAAAATCATTTATTTATTATTTATTTATTAACCATTTTATAAAAAAATATATATTATACTTTACTATACTATATTATAAGATTATTATCCAGAACTTTGATTACAATTAAAAACACAATCAATTTTTTGTTGAAGATTAGTGATTTGAAAACAATCATGATTTAACAGTTTGAGGCAGGAAGCCAATGAGCTACCCACATGGCCCTTCAACTACTTGGCACTTCCTTAGCTTCTGTGTAATTGTGTTCAATGCTAAAAAAAAAAACCACACACAAACACGACCCCAACTTGACCTTTGTATCATATGTGGATGATACTTTTTGTTATGCTTGGTCCACACCTGCCAACCTTTTTCCCAATTTGGTATTGCAGATTAGTCACCCCCATAACTGTACAGTACGTTGTGTAGGTCAGGACCAAGTCAGCATGATCATTTATACCTCTGGATTGCAACCCATTGATTGCGACCCAAGTTTGAGTCGTGAATGAATTTTAGAGGGTCGTTAGATCGCATCAGGGTCTCAAAAAAAATTTAAAGAAAGTCTTAAGTGTTAAAATACCATAAAACCTCGAATAGAAGCCCAATGGGCTTACAGTAATCTCAGGAGGAAGCTGATCTTGAACTGAAGCCCCCTCTTTAGTTTGCAAAAGTAGCCTCGAAAAGAAGCCCATGGGCTTCTTTTCAAGAAAAGTCTTTTCCGAGATAGTACAGGATTTACACTGTACATGAATTTTTAAGAAACAAAATAAAGTAAAAACATGCTTTGTTTATACAGTAGTTTAGGTAATTTAATGCCAGTTAATACACTCCATGATACGGATTGATGTTATAGTGGCCCTAATTGTTTTATAGTAGTAGTAATTCCCAAAATTTACAGCATTCACTTTGAAAAGAAGCACCCCCCTCCCCTACCACCGCCTCTTTACTTTGCAAATGTAGCCTCAAAAAGAGGCTCATCTTGAAAAGAAGCTCGTCCAAAGTTCGCGAAAAAAAAAAGCCCAGGACTTTTTTTAGAGGTTTTATGGTATACACTTTAAAAATCAGATTCTTGTTAAGACATCGGAACATATGATTTCTTTAATTAAATAATTTTATAACATTTTGGCTATTGTCTTCAGTTTGTGTTAAGGTTTGGCTGTTGTCATCTGATTTACGAATTAAGGAACTTGAAAAATCGCTGTGCATACACTGGCAGTGTGTACTAATCTTAGTCAGCATGCCGTTCTTATCGCCCAAGCAACACAACAGAAGTGGTTGAATAATGATTGTATTTCAAAATATTAGACACAGAAATAATTGTGTTGGTCTATAAATAAGGCTTAAGAAATTTAACAGTGTTGTTTTACTCGTTCACATCCTTAACTCCGTATTTGTCTACTCTTGAAAGAACTTCCCCTTTAGCGTATGCTGTAGTGGGCCGTATGAAATCAAAACTTGACAAAAGTGCTAGCAACCAATGTCAGAATTAACATGGTCAGATCAAAACAATTGAAATCAACAAATCATGAATATAAACTTGAAAAGGTGCTTCAGGTAATTACTTTCTTTAATAATATGTTTATCAAGTATCATACTATTGTTGTTACGAGACACTACAGTACTTTGATATAATACACTGGCTGTATATTTTGTATCTTGGACGACATTTCTAGGGGAACTAGAGGTCTTGGGTCGTGGGAAGCTATGGGTAAACATTCTGGGTCCTAAGGAGTAAAACATTGCTGACCGTGGGTTTATACCAGTGGTTTCCAACCTTTTTGGATTCACTGATCCCACAGGACAGGTTAACTCATTGTCAATATTCCACCAATAGGATTACTGTATAAGACTAGATAGACAATGAATCGCCACAAAAGTACATCAAAGCTATTTCATTGTTTACCAGTACTAATGATTACTAGTCAGATGTTTATCACACTATTGTAAGACGAGAAAAGTAATGGTATCATGAGAAAGTGCTGGCGGACCCCAAACTTTTTTGTGGACCCCTTGCATAACCTTTTGACTTGGCAGACCCCCTACTAATTTTTTGTGGATCCAAAGTTGGGAATTCAAAGTCTCATTCAAAGAACTGGCAAGCAATGTTTTTGTACAAGACTCAAACCAAGGCCTCTGGGATGAGAAGGCATTGTGTGTTAACCGCCACTCAAGTTGCACTACAAATAATCACTGATCAATACTTAATAGACATTTTGAAAAGTTTACCAACAGTAACACACTGCTGTTGGTTTACAATGGCAGCCGTGCAAAGAGTAAGATATGTCTCCTCGGCTAAAGCTCCATTTAAACTAGACATGATAATGACACGATGACACAATAAAAATGTGCTCGGTGTTGAAGAATATGAAAGACGTGATGATAAGTTGTTGTGTCGTTATCGTTTCTAGTGTAAATGCAGCTGAACTCAGTTTTTTTTTTCAAATATAAATACAGATGATTATAACAGTAAATGGGTATAAGCAAAAATTGTTTAAAATATGTTTTAAAACTGTTTAAGACTGATTTAACCTTTAGACATTAAAAATTGGCATCATAATTTACACAATATTTACATATTAGTATACATACTAGAATTTGATCCGATTTTTATCTTACCAAATCCGTTTCTTCTTCATCAAACCGGTCACACGGTCTATGTTTTGCAGTTGTAAAAGTTAGATTTGGAAGCGTCAATTCAGAGAAATTTGACATTATATTGTACGGATCCATGTCGATAAGGGAACCGGTATTCCACGCCTTCAAGACTTCAGGTGAAAACGTCCAATCAGTTACACTATTGGGAAAGAAATGAATATGAAGAACTTTTGAAGATTACGGAAACATCAAGACTGAAAAGTGGAAATTTAAGGAAACTGAGTTATATTAAGCGCAACATCCTTTTCTGTATAGGATGCACACTAAAGGAGTAGTCTCATAATTTTAATGTTTAATTCTATGTAGAACCTCAATCATCCATTTAGAACAATTAAAATGTAAACATTCTGAACATTTTTTTCTTTGCATGATTGGATCACAGAGAAAGATTGGATATAACAGTTGAGTAACCACATTTAAAATTAAACACAGATAAAAATAAAGGCATGTTTTGATGCGAGCTTGTGTAACATGTGCAAATTCTCCTTTAACCCAATTCTTGAGATCTTCGGCCAGTATTGTGATGATGACTAGGCAGGTTGAGGCCATTAAGCACTTCCCTAGGTGTGTGTGTGAGGGACACCTAATTTTTGGCACTGTTCCAGCTACCTAAGGTATCAACAACTTTTCAATAACGATGACATCCTTTGTAGGAAACAGTTTGGAGCAGTGACAACAGTTTGGTTCGGCAACTTCGAGGTCGGGGTTTCAATCCCTCTGCGCATTTCACTTAATTGTGTCCTTGAGCAAGACACTTTATCTACACCGATTTTCTCCACCTAGGATAATGAGTACCTGGTTGGGTTATCTACTAAGCCAATACAGACCCAAAGACAAGGGATAAAAAAGCACTTCAGAATGGAAAGGTGGTATATGAATTACTAGTAACCAGTAAATAATTTAACTTACCATTATTGAATCATACAGCCATTTTTCTCATGTCCTTTTAATATCTGCCACACCTCAATATGCCTCAATGAAAAATTTCTGGATGTTGAGATCTAAGCGTGATAGAATTACAATATATAAATTACTTTTTGCAAATAGGCATTAGAATATAAAAGAGTTCATAAATTAATTTCCACACATTAAAAGAAGCTAATATTTTGTTCTATCAGTGGCACATCTAAGGGATGCTAGCACCCTTCCCAAGACGTACTCTCCCCAAGACGTTTCCCCCATTAAAAATATTTAAAGCAAAAATAGACCACACTCAAGTAATTACGTATCATCATCATGTAATTTGCGTAGGCATTGACATTAACCAGGAGGCATTTTAGAGAAAAAAAAATTTTTGCAAATTAGCACCCCCTCACCTAATCATCAAGCCCCACCAACCCCATTTTAAAACTACTAGATACTGTACGTCACAGATTTCTTTTGTTTTGGTAAAATATTGTGGATAACTGTCTCCAAACAAAGGTGAACTAGAACTGATAAAATTAGAACAAAACATGTAAGCCTACATCCAAAGAAATATACTCACTAAAATTACAAAAATAAATTGAATAAAAACATTCTACCAAAAATACAGTTCTGGAAAAAATGGCAAGTATAAGACATTACTAGTACAGTCAGAATGAATTAAAATCTACTTTTAACTCTGAAATCCACCTTTTAAAGGAACTGTACCATGAAATGCAGACTTATGAAGGTAGTTTCAATAAGAAAATTATAATACTAAATTTGGATTCGAACCCAAGATCATATACATTCCTAATGCTATTCTGTTAAGCCCACAGACTGGTTGGTGATGCTATAGTCCCTTAAAGCATCATTGTAAAGGTACGTAAATGCATGCATTTTGGGACAACATTTGTTAATTTGATTGACATGCTTCAAAGATGCCCATAACATCACAAGACCTAGACAACCTTGCCTATTATGAACATATAAAAAGGAAATTAGCTCATGCGTTTACAGTAGCATAACCACAGGACAAAAATAAGATTAAACCAACAATCAAGTGACTATCTTGTGACTATATATTAATTTAATAAAAAGAAATAGAAAATACAAAATTTCAAAATTAATGATTAGAAAAAAAAATTAAAAGGCAAAGGGGGAATATAAAATCAATATGTGCTTTTTTATTTATCAGTACTGTATATAATATTTATAATTCAATATTTTTACTTAAATATACATCTATTGATATTCGTTTATATACATTATTATAAACCTATATATTAAATTAAATTCAATTTATTCAAAATATACCCCACCATGGGAGAAGAGAAATAATACAAAAAGCACATAAAATTAAAATTGAATGCTAAAAACATTAATATATAATTATAAATTTTCATATATTTTATATTCTTTATATTGATAAATCTTAAATATACTTATATAATTATATATAGAAAACTTTATATATAAATATTTTGTACGTATATGACACTAGGGTTAACGTACTGAAATGCAGGTACTCTATTACCATCTCATTTGCATGACCACAATAAGCAATAATTCAATCAAATCTGGAAAAGATTATGTCTAACAAAAACAAATATAAAAAGCATAAATTATGAAAAACATAATTATTATTATTTTGCTTGTTAGTATAGTACATACCTTTAGAGCCTCTTAGCACTTTCCAGAAAATTAGAGTGAAAGGGTCTATTGAGTACCGTAGTTCAATATTATGCTTATGCATATTTTTTAAAATTAAAAACTAATTATACACTTACTGTAAAGGTATAACATATACGGCCCAAAAAAACAATGAAACTGTGTTACTCAATGGACCCAAAATTGTTTATATCCAGGGTTGGCTTTTAAAAATATATTTTTACCTAGAAGCGGCCTAAAATACCTGTAAAATGTTTAAAATAGGCCACTTTTTATAAAGTTGGGTTTTATTTCTGGATATAAATAACGTGTTTACATCATCGCTGTCTGCTACACTGTGCGTTTATCCTTTCCATGACTCTCTTTCAGTGGTCATATGATCTGTCATTCATCTTTAAATACAGTAGTTCCTTATTATTTTTCCCATTTATTGTTTTTGGCCTGCTGACAGGTTTTGACTTTCCAAATAAACTCCCTAAATTGAGTATTGTCTGGCTGACAGGTATAATGTTCCTGCTTCTTGCACCATAGACCCCTGTTTAGTCAGTTTTGAATTGGATTCTGCACGCTCGGTTCCTCGAAAATAACTCCACATGAGATGAATCCGTTACATATTGTACTGTGAATTAAGTTGGCTGCTACAGGTTCACAAGAGCAAAGTGTTAATTTTCACGAATGAGGGCAATAAAGAATTATTATTAATATTAACATAACATACAATTATATTTAGTTATAAATATTCATTTAAAAAATTACTTTGGCTGGGGTATCTATTTGTAGCCAAAGCCTGTGTCCTTTCCAGGTGGAGGTGGCACCAGCGAGGGGCAGGGGGGCATTTTACCCCGTCAAAAAGGCCAGGACCCCCTGTCATACAATGCAAGACTAGGTCGTCGGATCAAAAAAAAAAATAATAATAATTTGCCTATCCAAATAACGTTATTTGACTGCCAATCCCTAATATTGTGGTTGCAGAAGTACATTTTGGACCACACTAAGCCATAAAAACTCTCCCTGTGAACCCTACAACGAAGTTTTTACTCCGGGCCGTCAACCGAGGCTTCATTGGCCCCTTGGCTCGAACCCCTTGTCTGCAAATTTCTGGCGCCATCGCTGTGTCTAGGAGCGTACGCTGTTTTTTTTTGCCTGGGGATGGAACAAAATCTCTATTCCAATGAAAATTAATGGTCATTTTTAGTATTTTAACCCACTTAATGGAACTAATTTGCTGCCATTTGGGAGGGGGTGGGGACAGGCACCCCAGCCAGCCTACACCCATGCTGTCAATCCAAAACTAGAAGTTTTTAACTAGCTGACTGATGATTCTTCATTGTGCGTACAATACTCTTCACTTCTCAATAGATATATAAGACCCCTTAACTTACAGTATATACATTACCTACAGTAATCATGGAGCCTCCCACTTAACCTTCATGCCCCCACCACCAGACCCTACCCCTCCCCATGTTGATATGGCACTTCCCAAAACATTATTGTAAAAACATTGTAAAACAGTTCATGTTCAAAACTAACAAGAAATAAATTGTACAAACCATAACTAGGCATGGTTATTAATTAATAGGTAAAAATTACAAAATCCCCTCCTAACACAATGTTCTTGTTATAGGGTTAGCCTTTGAAAGTGGTAAAAATAAATTGTTTCAAAAGTTCTTAGAACAAATAATTCATTATAACAAACAAATGAACTTAACTTTTTTAACATCAAACACATTTTACACTTAATAGTAAGCTCATTAGAAATACCTGTATCTATTCTGAACTCACGGTGCTGAGATGAACGTCTAGGATGATGTGACCTGATAATTATTTGTGAGTAGTAAATCTAGATACTAGTAGTAGTTGTATGTTGTTTACTGTAGCTTGTTCACATGATAATAAACTTGACATGTGACAACTAAACTGGAACCCTATACTTCATTTAAATATGAATAGTAACAAAAGCTGAGGAAATGTTGCTGGTGGTAATCATGCGCTGTGTGCAACAGGCCTAACCCCCAAAAATAAATTTTGTTATACTCTCAGTTAAATATAATCTATTGGAAAAACCTCAAAAATCATTTTAAAGAATCAAGTACTGTAAGATCTTAATAGCTTCTAATGAGACACATTCAATTTTAATTTTTTTTTTTTTTTTTTTTTTTTAGACTTTAGCCAAATAAAAAAATCACTAGTTTCTCATCCCCTTGCGCATCAATTTTCTCTGACTCACCGATTTTTTATTTATTTTTTAAAAATTTCCTTTATTTTATAAAATGTACGTAAATCTGGTGAACCACATCCGTAAAATTCCTCTCTCGACCGTTCGTGGTTGGGGATACTTGGTATGAACAATATCTAGTGCTTCTTTTATTTGCTTTTTTTGTGTCTACAGTGGTAAAAGTGAGAAAGTAGTAGTAGTTTCCAATTGACCATCTTGGATTTGGAGTTTAAAAAACAAAAGTACCCTAATTCTCCTTAATATTCAAAATATTAGTTTGAGAAACTACATATTTTGTTTACTTGGCCTTACTACAAGAAAACCTTTAGGAATTGAGTACCAACAAAAGAATACAGGAAAGGTATTGTTTGTTAGCTGACTTGGAAATGTTTATTTCATTTGAATTTTAATTCATAGAAGTACTGAATTAGGCCTACTTAAAATTAATTAACATATAAAGTAGGCAATTTAATTTAATTCATACTATTATTTACTTATATAATAACTGTTAAAATGTAGACTATATGTTATGTTATCTACGTAGTTATGACATTATATCATGCGCTGTGTGCAACAGGCCTAACCCCCAAAAATAAATTTTGTTATACTCTCAGTTAAATATAATCTATTGGAAAAACCTCAAAAATCATTTTAAAGAATCAAGTACTGTAAGATCTTAATAGCTTCTAATGAGACACATTCAATTTTAATTTTTTTTTTTTTTTTTTTTTTTTAGACTTTAGCCAAATAAAAAAATCACTAGTTTCTCATCCCCTTGCGCATCAATTTTCTCTGACTCACCAGTTTTTTATTTATTTTTTAAAAATTTCCTTTATTTTATAAAATGTACGAAAATCTGGTGAACCACATCCGTAAAATTCCTCTCTTGACCGTTCGTGGTTGGGGATACTTGGTATGAACAATATCTAGTGCTTCTTTTATTTGCTTTTTTTGTGTCTACAGTGGTGAAAGTGAGAAAGTAGTAGTAGTTTCCAATTGACCATCTTGGATTTGGAGTTTAAAAAACAAAAGTACCCTAATTCTCCTTAATATTCAAAATATTAGTTTGAGAAACTACATATTTTTTTTACTTGGCCTTACTACAAGAAAACCCTTAGGAATTGAATACCAACAAAAGAATACAGGAAAGGTATTGTTTGTTAGCTGACTTGGAAATGTTTATTTCATTTGAATTTTAATTCATAGAAGTACTGAATTAGGCCTACTTAAAATTAATTAACATATAAAGTAGGCAAATTAATTTAATTCATACTATTATTTACTTATATAATAACTGTTAAAATGTAGACTATACAGTATGTTATGTTATCTACGTAGTTATGACATTATGATGAAATAAAAGTGGGACAATCCCACAAAAGAGAGAAAAAAAATTATTAACAGGCTGTGATAGCAGAATTAAAAATGAAATATATTCCATTGCACTATTATACAAAATTAAAATTCTAACAGAGCTAGGTAAGCCAGTTTGTAAAAATGCATGGATTATATCAGCGAGTTGTTATATAACAGGGAGTTATATAACTCCCTGATTATATTAAGAATTATGTAAAAGAAAATAATTATGAATGGATGTTATACTTGAATGAGTTTTATTTTGTTATCTAGTATTAATATCATTGTGCTATTTTTGAATAATTGGGATTAAATGGTAACGTATTTGAAAGTATTATCATAAATATTTAAAAAAAAATATAAAAGAAACATTGGAATAAGGTTTGGTAACCACACAAAAAAAATATATACAAATTTAAAGTATATATACAGCAATGTACTAGTAAAGTTCAGTTTACACTTTAGATTGACGTCTTACTTATGCTAAGGTCATAGTGTATGCATGACTTTGTTGTGTAACTGGTATTAATATTACCGCAGCCCGAGCTTCGTGAATAAAAATGTATAATATTGATGGTAAAAATTTGAAAATCAGGGGGAAAAAATGGTGAAATAAAGGTGGGAAGACCACAAAAGAGAAAAAAAGAGAAAGCAATTTAAATATGATCCCAAGTAGATCTCAAAGCCAACAATCAAAAGGAAGCCTGAGAGAACTGCACCAATTAGTTATTTTAAATTTTTTTCCAATGATATATTTCATTTTATTTATTTATTTATTTATTTAGTAGCCTTCATATTTCAATTATTCTCCATTTTAAAACAAAAAAAAAGCACATTGTAAGACAATTAACATTGAAGGAAAACATAAAGACAACAAAACAATTGATATTAAAACCATGCCCAATAGATTTTCAGATAACTGTACCTAAACATAACCCTAAGCTGATATTAAACAATAATTCACCATATCAAATCCTACTTCTTAGGCCCTGTCCAACATTTGGTTCCAACTCCCTATTCGTACTCGCTCGCTCCAAAAACCCATCAATGACACAGATAACAATAGGCACTGTCCCAATCAACAAGATAGGAGGCCTATGTGGAAACGTGCCCTCAACTCAACTGGACTCAAAAGTGAACTTTACTCGGAACCACAGTTGTGTGTATTCCGGGTTTGTCCTGTCTGTGAATTGGCACTGAACGCGGCAGAAACTTCTATAAAAGTAATTTAAAAACATACTAATTGAATAACACATTACTAAAGATAAAACTTACTCTCGAAAAAACAAACAATGTACGGCTACTGCACTTCTCCAAATTATTAATTATTATTACCTGTACCTTAAGGGGAACTTAGACAATGGAGGAATTAGAGAACAATTGAAAAACGACGTTAAGGGGAAATAACACAAAAGATATTCCCCTTGGGCGATTATTATTTATAGGCTTAGTAAATAGTACGGTATCTGTAGGTTCTTCATTACAAGGCTTAGTCCAAGGTAATTAATGCTGAAATGATTATTATTATTATTATTATTATTATTATTATTATTATTATTATTATTATTATTATTATTATTATTTAACATTAATTACATTACAATGATAGTTTGGACAAGTTCAATAACGCCGGAATGGTATATTATTTATTTAATAATATTTCTCTTATGCGCCCTATTTTTTATTTCATGCTTCAATTTTGTCCTATTTTTTCCCCAAAACATTTCAGTCAATGTCAGTATGTTGGTGTCAGCCCATGACCCTAGGCCTAGTTTAATGAGGGGCCTAGGACTAGGTAAGATGTTTATCCTCTTTCTCTCTAGCCTTTGGTATAATTTTTACCTATCTACACTTTATAACAGGAGGTACTAGCTGTTGTTGTTGTAGATAATATACTAACATTTAATAACATCCAATAAGGTCACAGTTAGTTACACACGTACATCCCATAAGTCCGTGAGATTTCATAGGCCTACCGTAGGTAAACATAGAAACAAGAGCAATACAGTAATGCTAAAACTCGAGCGTCACGACATTGCGAAGTGTCTGATCTTGTTCCTCGTATCGTACTCACTCGAGTCAATCCGAGATGGCCCGAGTGAAGTTTCATGTAAATGTTTCGTACGGGAAAAAAAAATCGCGGCCCGTATCCAGGTATGATGGGGTGTGTGTGGGGTGGGGGGTTATGGTTCCGGCAAAATCTCCCTTTCTAGCAAAACCCATTTTTCTGGCGAACCTGTCAGATTTCTCCGACGAAAGCAAAGTGGGCCTGGTCGGGCTGCGATTATAAGGTTGCGATTATAAGGTTAAGAAAGTGGTCCAGGGGTTGGGTGGTGGTGGTTGGGGGGGGGGGATCCCCGATAATTTTGACACGGGTTTCAATGCTTTTAATCGATTTTAGAGTTACTAATATGTAGAAAATACATATAGGCCCTAATTTTATTTTTCTCCCCGACGAATTGTGCTTTTCCTCCTTATCATGGGCCATACATAATCTCTTATTACAAAAAAAATATAAAATAATAGTATATACTCTATATACTTGTATGAAAATTACGTAGATAAATAAATATAATGTTTAGAAAAGGCCGTCATCTGCAAGTCGAAAATGGCATCGCAAGCAGCCCACCCTTACCTAATTACCTGTAATTATTATTATCAACATAGGCAGTTCACACACTGCCGCGAGAGGGCCTGGCTCGCATGATATGAAAAAGCGTTACAATTCTGTAATGCAAAATACGCTAGCTGCTCGTTCTTTCTCTACTATCTATATTCTTTGCCGCGCTACATTATTGTTCTCTGTAAGATATCTATTAATAGAAATAACGTATCCAAAAAAAAATCCCCTGAAATCAGGTGACTTTTCGGCATACCATTATGTACCACCTGATCAATCAGCTGACTGTCCACGTGACCAAATTTGTTAATTTGCATAGTTATTGGTAGTGCAGTGGCGTTAAATATTATTGAAGTGTTGTTTGGGAGGCAGTGCATAAATTTCTTGTGTATTTTCTAAACATTTAAGTGGGAAAAACGTGTAAGTATATCATTAAATTGTAGTGTGAGTAATCTTAAGCATTTATTGATAATATTAGGTTATCTTATGTGGTATATAAAAATGTATTTCTAGCACGCACCAGCTTTTTAATTAATTTGTCAAACTGCCAGTGAGTGGTGTGGTGGCTAGCGTCATCATCAAGCCGCGCCTGCTGCAGCTATGACAAAGAAAGGGCGAGCAGGCCCCAGTGGAGGTGGCGCGGGAGAAATAGGTAGAGATATTAATTTTGTCGGCGATACTCAAACCGGACTAGGTCTAGGACATCTTTGTATTTGTTTTTCTGTGATTGTTAGGGTTTCCTTTTTGTTTTGAAATGCTGATACTCAACAAACAGCTGATAAAAATTGATATTTGTTTTGTTGGATCAGCTGGTGTACTGTGTCCTAGGCCCTCCTTCCAAGGAGGTATAAACAAATATACCTCCTTGCTCCTTCCTAGGACTACCTACCTAGACTTTATTATTTATAACTCCCTGGCTACATGTAGGCTGCCATTCTACACACTCATTAAACTAATTATCAGACGTTATGCCGATAGTGTTGCACATTTCGAAACTGTTGTTAGTATAAGTACGTTTTAAGTCAAATATAGTTAAATATACTACCTGTTGTTTTTTGTTGTAAAGCGCATTGAGGCTTTTTTAGTTAGGGGAATGCGCCATAGTTTTAAAATGGACTTAATATGAAGTTAGGTTAGACCTCAGGCTAGTCAACTCACAAAAAAAAAAAAAAAAAAAAATAAGGCCTAGTTAGGCCTTATTTTTATTTTTTTTTAAATGAAATAGACTTTTATAAAATATATTAATATTAAAGAAGATTTATGTGGTCATAAAGGGCAAGATTTATAACAATGATATGATATTTTATAATTTATAAATAAATGTTCTTGTAAATGCAAAGGCTTAATTTTTTTTTCTCCTTTCTGATATAGAGATCAAAGTTCAGAATGGAATATACAGCTGAAATAAAGGTTCAGGATATGAACTGTGAGTTATGCCAGCAGACGATCCAGATCGAGGTTGCAAAGCTGCTGGGGGTGAAGTCAGTTCGAGCCGTGCTTGTAGAAAAAGTTGCCAGAGTCCGGTTTCGTTCGGATATGACATCAGCTATGGTAATCACTGATGCTATCGATGGTCTTGGATATGAAGTGAAGCTGATTAACACAATCGCAGAAGCATCTGTGAAAACCTGTCAAGAAAACGAACCAAGCAGCCTCTATATGCGCAGTGAGAGTCCTCGAGGACACACAAGCGAGGAAAGAAAGCTACTAGACACGGAAAGCAGACTTGGACAGTTGCCATACTCACAATCTTTGATGACTTGTGAGCGTGTAAAATTAAAGGTTAGTATGAATATTATCATATTATTAATTTGTAAAATTCTTCATTGTTAATTATTTTATGTACATCATTATTTTTGAAAAGGAATGAATATTGTGGTTTTGAATTGGGTAGGAGAGTAGTAAAATATCTTTATTTATTCAGAGATATAAAGCTCAATGTCAACAGTTTCAATAGGAAAAATAAAGAGTAGATTGTTCTTTCATGAGTCTGTGGAAAAAAAAGATTGGAGGTTTTTGGGAATAATGATAGCCTGTACTCTTATACACATCTAGATGTGTTGTATATTGATTTATTGCACATCCAACAGTTTAAACACCAATTACAGGATGGAAATATAAAATATACAGTAAAAAAAACTTACACAAAATTAGTAAAAAGCCAAATTAATACAATAAAGATTATTTAAAAGACTCGAATGTAATAGACCTGAACTTAGAAAAACTACAATGAAAAATATCAAATTCAAGATTATCACAAACACATTATTATAAAGTGAAGACAATACTACAAAATATACCATTTTTACAAACATTAACACGTGAAAATTGTACATTTAAAATAGGTTTAGAACAACGTCTGCGGACAGGGACATTAAGAGAGAAATTAGAAACAATGTTACACGTAAACATAGAATTAAAACAATTTTAATATATAATTATGATTACTGTACTTACTTGAAAATTTTTTTTTTTAATTTCAAAATAGAGTTACCATTATTTTGAAGTTGTCAACATGAGCTTGTAGCATGTAACCTGAATTTTGTTACTTACATTTTTTTTACTTAGCCTGGCACAATATTTGATTAGATAGAATCAGGTTAAGGTACTGTACTTTAGGACAATGAACCTTTGCTCAAAACAAACTTTAGGCATTGATTCAATTTGCAATTAGCCATTATTCTAATTGATTACAACATAAATTTGTTATTGTGTGCTAATGTATACATACTGACTGATAAAATAAATAATTTTTAGATGACAAGATAATAGACAACAGCCTAGTGCTGTCTGCGTTACTTAGCCCAGTACCGTACATATACTGTAGGGCTAGTATTTTCGCTACCTTGTTTAAGGCGTCCTTTACTTTTGACTTTTTGAGATGTCATCAATTAATAATTCTTGTACATTTTCATATTAGAAAAATGGTTTTAATTTACCTGTATCTGCTATTTATTATTTATCATTATCATAATGTTACATATTTGTAGATTCTGATTTAATAAAATAAAATATTATATATTTTCCCAAACATTGAATTAAAAAAAAAAAAAATCAAAAAATTGTTTCTGTTAACAGTGTACAAAACAAATAATTTCCTGCACATGGCAAATGTTTGGTGCTTGTACCGTAATCTGTGAACTGTTTTCATGGAGCCAATGTCCATAGAGAGCTGATGTTGCCTCTATGGAGCTGATATTGTTTCTATGGAGTCCAGGTAGTTTCCATCGAGATATATATCTTGTTTTTAATCCCATTGGCACTAAAATCTAGCAGGTTGGTTGTCCCTTATTTGATGTTTTAAAACATTTTGAAGATCCCTAAACATGGCTGACAGAAATATTCAGTTGTTTGCTATATAGTAAGTACATACTGCGTAACAGTAAACTTAATAGTTTTATCCATGCCAGATTCCCAAGCTACAGGCAGTTCATTTACAAATACAAATTGCAAATGCATGTAAATATTAGACCGTAATAGCTCAATGAAATTTCCGGTGTGATTTCACACTCAATTTTTTACAAATGGTATCCATTATGGATTGGAGTTTATACACTTGTTTAGTTGTTATTCAATAATTGAGGTTAATTTTTAGGAAATTACCAGTGATGCAAGCAAGTGTAGCTAAAGTATAGTTGGTTGTTTGTGGATGTACTCTAGTTGAGAGAGACAATAAATGGGACACCTTCTTATCATCACCTTCAGTACCATTGTCAATGTACTTTTTGCCTGCATTTTATATGCTGGCAGGGGTCCCAACAGTGGCGGCGCTATGGGGGTGCTAGGAGGCTACATCCCCCTCCCCTCCCCCACCCTGGTCTTGGAGAAAAACAATTCGTCGGGGGGTGGGGGAAAATTCAAAAAAATTACATGTATTATTTACATAGTAATAGACTCTAAAATCGAATAAATAAGCCTTTGAAGTCCTTGGATCCCACGTCGGGGAAATCCTGGCTGCGCCACTGGGTGCCCAAGTCTCCCTGAAGTCGCAAGAGTGTCCCAGAATTCTGGATATAGACTCCCGCACTCCTGCAAGCTTATGTACAAGGATCTCCCAGAAAATAGCCCATCTCTTGCCAATGCATTAAATCTGTATGTTTTTACAGTAAGTGTAAGTAAATCCTTGCAAAGCTGCTAGGGCCCCATAGGGTTGGAGCTTAACCTCAGTTTTAAGTAGCGTGAAGCAGATGAGAGTTTGATGCTCGCCCTGGGTTGGACGCTGGTTACTCCCAGCAATTTGCTGAGTACCCATACAATAGGGTAGACTAAAGCAATGTACAGTAGGTAAAGTGCCTCGCTCAATGACAAAAGGGAACTGCACAGTGAAGAATTGAAACCCCAATCTCTAAGTTGGGAAGCCCAACCGTTTCACTGCACCAAACCACCTCCACATTTTTTCAATACTGTATTACCCCTTTATTGGAAGTCACTGTCGATTAGTATCACCATTTAACTGCCCTGTGATGAAAAACTCACTCAACTGCATTTAACAAAGTTTTGAGATAATCAACGAACGTGTTATTGTCTTCGCTCTCTCCATGCGTAAACAATTGAATCCTTATTTGTGTTTATTGTGTAGAACTTGTATTTTTAATTACTCTACATAATATGCAATATGTCACATTTATTGTTTTTTCATAACATACCGGGTCAATCACAAAGAAAAACATGGCTCACTCAACTGCATTTGTCATGAAAGAATCAACTCAACTACAGTATTTATTGAATATAAAAACATGTTATATTATCAAATAATATTACTTTCAGATGATAAGTGATATTATATCAATTTTTGTGAGTAAATTTATCGTTAGGCCTATTTTTTTACTATGATGGCAGAGACATAGAATAGAATACAGAAGCACACATACTCAATATGGCACCCTGTTTGTGCTTGTCTAATCTAGGCCTATGATTGTTAGGCTTCAAATATTATGAAGATTGCAGATAATTAAATTTAAATGTGATTATATTTTAAATGAAAATAAAAAAAAAATGATTTTCAATTATATTTGGGTATTTCTGCCATTATTTTCGGACAATGCTCTCTTTTTTTTTTACTTCAAGGAATTCTCTGTTTAATCGTCATTCATCATTTTTAAAAATTGTTTTCTATAGTTTCCTTTTTCAGAAATTCATCCTGTTTTGTCTTTCACATAAAATTGAATATCAAGCAGAAGAACAATATATGTTGAACTGTATGCAATAAATGTAATAATAATAATAATAATAATAATAATAATAATAATAATAATAATAGGATACAGTAATAATAATAAAGTTAATAAGTTAATAATAAGCTAAATATAGGTAATAATAATATCAGAGGTAATAAATAGTGCCCTAATAATCTATCAGAGCGATATTAGACACTAAATTTATTAAATAAAAAAAGACAAATTAAATATTAGAAAATATGCTTTTTTAGGTGGTCAGAACTTGCCTCCTGAATACATATGGGGAGCTGGTTCCATAATGATCCCCTGCCAGAAATAAGATCAATATCCATATTTTGCTAGTATGACTAATGCCAAAAAAGTATGATAATGTTTACTTAATACCAATATTGTGCACCAATGAAGATATTGTTTATAATGATTACATTGTGAAAGTAATGTGATGTACATAGACAATCGTCTTTCTCAATGATAAACCATGCAACACTATGCAGTTGAGTGCGTTTCTCATGATAAACTATTAATAATAATAATAATAATAATAATAATAATAATAGGTATTAAATGCCAGTTAAGTTAAGTCTTTCATAACATTTGCAGTTGAGTGCTTCTTTGCTGACAAAGTAACACAGACTTGCAGTTGAGTGATATTTTATTTTTTAAATTTCATATTTCCTGTTATAATTTCAAAAATCTGAATACATCACAAGGTGTGTTGTCCCCAAAAGTGCAAAACGCTGAAAAAGTGCATTTGAAAAAATTGCCAGTTGAGTGTTTTTTTCATGACAGGGCAGAATTAGTGTAGCAAAACTAGATAATTAGATACTGTATGTCATAAAAGCACTTTAACAAATCTCCTGGACTTCTTGCAACTTTGGGACCCCTATGCTGGTGATGTGTTTCACATCCATCTAATGCCCACCCGGAGAAAGACAGCCCTCAGTGCTACAGGGGGTCAATCATGATTCTAGGCAGAACTCGTCATTGCTTCAGTGCCCGCTGTGTACATTTTACTGAAAATTTAATAAATTATTATAATTCATCATTTTTAATGAGCAATCAATGTTTTAAAAATTGTTAATATTTCCTTTTTTTTTTTTATCCAGATCACTAGCTTTATATTGTAGAGAGTACTGGGTATAGCTATGTAGAAAAGTAGACATATATTTAATTATGTTATTGTTAAAGATAATTACTTTTCCATATATCCATATAAATAATACAAAATACTGAAACAGGAAATCAGATGGATCATTTTTAATGAGCAATAAATGTTTTAAAAATTGTTAATATTTCCTTTTTTTTTATCCAGATCACTAGCTTTATATTGTAGAGAGTACTGGTTACAGCTATGTAGAAATGTAGACATATATTTGATTATGTTATTGTTAAAGATAGTTGCTTTTCCATATATCCATATAAAAAAAATACTGAAACAGGAAATCAGATGGATAGGATTGACATATTGTACAGGACAGACTAGTGTAGAGTTATTATTCCTGCAGGTGAAATAAACTATTTATTTTTGTAGGCTTTTCCGTATGCTTCTTTCTTGTTGTTTTACAGTTTAAGGTAATTCAAGAGGGAAGCTGAACTTTACTGTAA